TATGCCTTCAAAATTTCATTGGCTAACAAAAATAAACTCAAAATAGGTTAAAGACTTAAATGTGAGGCCTGAAACCATAAAAGTCCTAAAAGATAATACAGAAAGTAAACTATCTGACATCAGTGTGAGTAATATCTTTTTGGATACATCCCCCTGAGCAAGGGAAATAAAAACAAACAAATGGGACTTCATCAAACTAAAAAGCTTCTGCACAGTGAAAGAAAACTTCAACAAAGCTGGTGTGGCTCAGTGGCTGAGCGTCAACCCATGCACCAAGAGGTCGCTGGTTCAATTCCCGGTCTGGGCACATGCCCAGGTTGTGGGCCCGATCCCCAGTGGAGGACATGTAGGAGACGGCCAATCGATGTTCTCGCTCACCGATGTTTCCATCTCCCTCTCACTTTCTCTCTCTCTAAAATCAATAAAGGGAAAAAAAATTTTTTTAAGTCAACAAATAAGTGTTGGTAAGGATATAAAGGAAAGGGAACTTTGTGCACTATTGGTGGGACTGCAACTGGTACAGCTCCTATGGAAAACAGTAAAAAGATTCCTTTAAAAAACTAAAAATTATGGCCCTGCCGGTGTGGCTCAGTGGTTGAGCATCGACCCTTGCACCAAGAGTTCACCAATTTGATTCCTGGTCAGGGCACATGCCCAGGTTGTGGGCCCAGTCCCCAGTGGGAGGCATACAAGAAGCAGCCAACCAACGTTCTCTCATCAATGTTTCTCTCTCTCCCTCTCCCTTCCTCTCACTCTAAAAATCAATAAAGAAAAAAAAAATTTTTTTTTAAACTAAAAATTATGTACCCCTATGTTCATAGCAGTGCTATTTACAATTGCTAAGATCTGGAAACAGCCCAAGCGTCCATGAATAGATGAGTGGATAAAAAAGCTGTGGTACATATATACAATGGAACACTATGCAGCTGTAAGAAAGAAAGATCTCTTATCCTTTGAGACAACATGGAGTGACCTGGATAGTATTATACTAGGTGAAATAAGCCAATCAGAGAAAGACAAATACCATATGAGCTCACTTATTTGTGGAATATAATGAACAAAATAAGCTGATGAACAAAATAGAACCAGAGACATAAAAAGAAGTACAGTTCAGACTGACAAACCTTAGAGGAGGGGGGTGGGAGGAGGATGAGATAAACCAAAGAACTTATATGTATGTATGCATAACCAATGGACAGAGACAACAAGGCTTGGGTGGCGGGGGCGGAATCAGAGGGGAGGGAGGAGAAATATCTGTAACAAAAATAATTAATTAAAAAAAAAATAGCCCTGGCCAGTTTGGCTCAGCGGTTAGAGCGTCAGCCTATGGTCCAGAGAGACCTGGGTTCGGTTCCCACTAAGGGCGCATACCTTGGTTGCAGTTTGTACCCGGCCCTGGATGGGTTGTGTGGGTAGCAACCACTCATTGTGTCCCTTTCACGTCGATGTTTCTCTCTCTCTTTCTTCCTCTCTCTCCCTTCCACTCTATATGAACAAAAAATGGAAAAATATCCTTGGGTGAGGATAAAAAAAAAAAAGGAAAAAATACTAAAAATTGATATACCTTATAACCCAGCAATTCCACTTTGGGGTATTTATCCAAAGAAAATGAGAACACTAATTCAAACAAATATATCCACCCCTAGGTTCACTGCAGCATTATTTACAATAGTTAAGACATGGAAACAACCTAGGTGTCCACCAATAGATGAATGGATTAAGATGTACAATACACACGCACACACAATGAAATATTATACAGCAATAAAAAGAATTAAATTTTGCCACTTGCAACAACATAGATAGATCTAGAGGGTATTTTGCTAAGTGAAATGTCAGACAGAGAAGACAAATATCATAAGGTTTCACTTACAGTGGAATCTAAAAAAAACAAAACAAACAAACAAGACAAAACACAGACTCATAGAAACAGAGACCAAAGGGATAGTTACCAGAAGGAGGGGGGTGGAAGGACAAGTGAAAAAGGGAAAGGAAATATAGTCAATAATATTGTTATATGTTTACATGGTGACAGATTACTGGAATTACTGGGGTGCTCACACTGTAAGGTAAAAAATGTATAATCACTCTATTAAATATCCAAAACTAATATAAACAATATAAGATTGTATACCAACTATACTTAAATTAATTTTTGTAATTACACTGGCTATTTTTGGCCCTTTCCATTTCCATGTAAATTATAGAATCACCTTATCAATTTTCACCAGAAATAAAATCTCTTCTGAGATTATGTTTGAGATTGTACAAAACCTAGACAATTCAGGGAGAATAGACACTATTTATATAATTCAGTCTTCCAGTGTCTACATGTGATATCTTATTTTATTAAGATTCTCTTTGCTTAGGAAATATATTCAATAATATTGTAGTAAGTAGGTGTGATGCCAGATGGGTACCAAACTTATCAGGGTGATCACTTCACAGGGTATATCAATGTCTAGTCATTATGTTCTACACCTGAAAGTACTATGATATTATATGTCAACTATAATTGAAAATAAATTTTTAAACAAAATTTTCTTTAATTTTTCTCAAAAACTATTTTATAATTTTCAGTGTAGAGGTCACATATCTCTGGTCAGATTATGTCTAAGCTATAATAAACAAATCACAATTAAAAAAAAAAAAAAGAGTCAATGTCCTGAAGATAAAAAGTGACTGGGAGACTGTTCTCCATTAAATGAACTAAAAACAAAAAACATGAAAAAATAAATGCAATGAGTGATCCTTGGTTATATCTTCTATCTAAACAGCAAAAATATATATAGCCATAAAAAATAGTTTAAGAATAATTAGAGAAATCTGAATATGTAATGACTATTAACTTTCTTTGGGTGATAACGGTATTACAGTTATGTAGAAGAATGTCCTTGTTTTTAGGAGATGCATGCTAAAGAATTTGTGTGTGAAATTATGATGTCTGCAATATCAGATAAAAATGCAGAGAGATGGAAAGAGAAAATGCACACAAATGTGGTAAAATATAATAACTGGTAAATCTAGGGAAAAGGTAATTTGATATTCATGTACTATTCTGTCAACTTTTTTCAGTTTGGAATGTTTTTAAACCAAAAGGTTGATGGAAATGCCTGGTTGGTGTGGCTCAGGGGTTGAGCATGGACCTATGCACCAGGAGGTCTCCAGTTCAATTCCTGATCAGGGTACATACCCAAGTTGTAGGCTCAGTCACCAGAACAGGGCATGCAGGAGGCAGCCAATGGATGTTTCCCTCATCATCAATGTTTCTATCTCTCTTTCCCTCTCCCTTCCTCTCTCTGAAATCAATAAAAACTTTTTTTTTTAAGTTGATGGAAAGAAGCAATGCAGTAAATTGTTACAATGAGGAGATCATGGCCCTGGGCAGTTTTTCTCAGTGGTTAGAGCATCTGCCTGCAGTTCAGAGAGACCTGAGTTCGGTTCCCACTAAGGGCGCGTACCTCGGTTGTAGTTTGTCCCCGGCCCTCATTGGTCCTGCGGGTGGCAGCCACTCAATGTGTCCCTTTCATGTCGATGTTTCTCTCTCTCTCTGTTCCTCTCTCTCCCTCCCACTCTACCTGAATAAAAAATGGAAAAGTGTCCCCAGGTGAGGATAAAAAAAAAAAAAAAATGAGATCATGTGCAGGAGTGGGTGGAAGTGGGCAAAGGTGGGAAGGGATACCTGCAATAATGTCAAAATTAAAATTTTTGAAAAAATAAATAAATAAATAAAATATATCACATGAGGAAAAAATGTGGTGTATAAAACTATCATAAAATACTTAAAGGAGCCTATTATTCAGAATTATAAAAACCTGTCCCCCCCAAAATGCTACTAACAAGCTCAAACAATTGCTCACTTTTTAAAAACTTCCATAGAGTATTCAAGAATAACATCTAAAAAACTATCAATTTTAATTAAAATTTAAAAGAGCAAATAAAATTTAAGCTACATATTTTCTTAAATAATTCTTTGAGCCCTGGCCAATTTGGCTCAGTGGTTAGAGTGTTGGCCTACAGACCTGAGGGTCACAGGTTCACTCCCCCCAGTCCTGGTCAGGGTACATGTGAGAGACAGCCAATGTCTCTCTCACATCAATATCCCCGCTACGGCAACTCTCTATTTAAAAAATATATAGATATATATATCCTCAGGTGAGGATTAACAAAAAAAAAAAAAAAATTCTTAGAGAACACTGGAACATATTACCAAAGAATATTACAAAATTGGCCTCTCTGATTCTTTTTAATTTGACACTTAACTATAATAATGAGAAACAAAAGAGAAAAAAAAGTCTTTTCAACAAATGATACCCATTCCCACCCAACCTGACACATATACTACATAAGGACAATTCTACTAAGTATAGCATAGATTACCTCCAGATAATTAAGGAAAACTATATTATGGCATATATTCCTAAACTTTAGCATTTGATATCAAAGGAGGCAAAAATGTTGCCCTTTGCTGTTACAGAAACATCCCTGAACTGGTTCAGTCAGTAACCTCAGTAATTCATAAACATGTTACCTTTAACATCTTTATACCTATATATAGCTCTAGTTTAAGAGAATGATCTACTTAAAGTAATTACAAATTTTAAACTAACATGTTTTAGTAGTGCCCTGGCCGGTCTTGCTCAGTGGTTAGAGCATTGGCCCATGGACCAATGAGTCATGGGTTCAATTCCAGATAAGGGCACGTACCTCAGTTGTGGTTCATCCCCGGCCCTGGTCAGGTCATGCAAGAGGCAACCAGATGATGTGGCTCTATCACATTGATGTTTCTCTCTGTCTCTCTCTCTCTCCCTCCCTCCTACTCTATCTGGAAATAAGTAGAAAAATGTCCTCAGGTAAGGAATAAAAATAAATAAATAAGTGTTTTAGTAGTTTGAGACAACCAATATCGAAAACTAATGTTTTTAGTATATGTAACTAGAATATACAAAGGACAATAGCTTTTAGAAAACATATCTAATAGAAAATTTATTTATACCTACCTGTTACTTCTTTTAACTGATTTGTTCTGCCATGGTGGATCCATCACAATTACATCATATGTTTTCTTACCTAAGAACAAAGACACAATTTCTGAAACTACCTTCAGTACGTGATCACCTTAAAAGCTAAACATGTCCTTCAAAACTGAAGTGTATTCACTACGTAACGAATACAATACAATGTAACAAAGGATTTGTGGCATTTATTCAAACAGAATAACTTATCTAAAAATATTAAGAGATCCCTCCTGTAATTTAGTACCACTGGGATTTTTTTTTTTTATCCTACCCGAGGACATTTTTCCACCTTTTGTTCAGATAGAGTGGGAGGGAGAGAGAGAGAAACATCGACATGAAAGGGACACATCGAGTGGTCGCCACCCGCACGACCCAACCAGGGCCGGGGACAAACTGCAACTGAGATATGTGCCCTCAACGGGAACTGAACCCGGGTCTCTCTGGACCGCAGGCCAACGCTCCAACCGCTGAGCCAAACTGGCCAGGGCACCACTGGGATTTTAACATGATTTCACCTATCACTATTTTTACAGAGACTGTCTGAAAATAACTATAACTCACTTAACTGGACACCAATGATTTTAAATACCCTGTAAGTCTTCACAACAATATTATTGTGGTCTTTTTAAACCTCAGGGATTTTTGCTTTATTTTGTAAACTTTTTATATGAAATGAATTTTCAGTCTTAAAACTGATATATTGGCCATAATAAAATGTCCCCAATTGTCTACTAATGACCTTTTTTCTGGTCCTAGATCCAAATCACACATCGATTTTAGTTGCCATGTCTCCTAAATCTCCTCCAATCTGGGAAACTCCCTCAATCTCTTTGTCTTTTATGATCTTTTGTATGCTACTGGCCAGTGATTTTGTAGAATGTCCCTCAGTGTGGGTTTTGTATTTCCTCACGATTACATTTAGTTTATTTTTTGGCAAGAGTACCATGGAAGTAATGCTATGTCCTTATCAGAACAACCTATCAGGAAATATAGATGTGAAAATGTCTCATTATTGGTGATACTACTTTTGATCACTTGGTTAAAGTAGTCTACCAGATTTCTCTAGTATTCCCTTTCTGATTAACAAGTATCTTGTGGGTGAGATACTTTAAGACTGTGCAAATATCTGGTATCTGTCTCATCTTTTCACCCATTACTTTTACATCCAACTACTATGGTATCTGCCAAATGCAAATTTTCCAGTTCCATCATTCCACCCACATTTATTAATTGGAATTTCACTGTAAGGAAGAACTGTCCCTTCTCCTTTTATAAACAAACATGTATTTTTGTACCTGTACAATCTCATAAGTAATCAAAAGAATGCAAATTAAAATAAGGAAGTAATAGTTTTTAAACTATTCGAGTAATAGCCCTGGTCAGTTTGGCTCAGAAGTTGGAGCATCGGCCTGCGGACCAGAGAGTCCCGGGTTCGGTTCCCGATAGGGGCATGTACCAAAAAAATAAATAAATAAATAAAATAAACTATTAGAGTATCAAAGATAAAAAAGAATGGAAAAAATGTTCAAACATAGTACAATTTTCTCATTAATTTGTTATCCGATCATTTACCCTGAGGAATTTATGATATTATGACATGAATAGTCACTCATGTGTAAGGTGGCTCAATAGCAATTAAAAGAAGCTTTTCATTAATAAGCTATGCTATTTTAACTTTAAATTTTGATACAAAATGTCCAAATAATAATAAATAGCAAATAAAATTCAACTTCATCAATACCTACCTTTTACCTACTTCATTCCTTAGAAGATTGAGTTTTAACTTATTAAAAACATAAATCACAGAGCTAAGCTCCTCATGCAGATTATTTCATTTAGTCCTCAAAATTACCCTGAGAAGTAGGCATTATTATAACCATTTTATAGATTAGGGAACTCAGGCTCAGTTTTGTGAAGTACTCAAAAACTCACAGTTAGTTCAGTGTCAGAACCCAAATTCAAATTCTGACCTAGACTTCAATATTTAAGGTTTCAACTTTATACAGAAAAATATTTCAAAAAATTTTGTACAATAAACCTGAACATTAGCTTAAAACATAACCTTAAAGGCTAAGAATTAATATTCATATCTGAAGTGTTTCTACTTTGCTATGAAAAAAAGTTTAAATTATTTGGTCAACCCAACTGTATCCTGAATTTCTAAGTACAAAGCAGTAACACTATTTGATCTCTTAGGGTCTAGGTAGTTTTTGACCCTTTGTTCACAATAAGAATTTAAATTTTTTTTAAAAGCAAAAGTCAGCATTTTAAAATTGAATTTAAAAGCAAAATTACACTAAGAAAATTCATTGTTTACCCTATCCTCACAAAATGTTTACCCTCATTCAACATTCAGGCTAGCTCTTGATTTATGAGGCCACAGAAAAACTATCTTTTTCTAATAATAAACACAATAAATAATTACTTACAATTCAGAAGGGGATGCATACAAGAAATGTCAGACAAAAGAAAACTGCTTTTTGGTGGCACCAGGTATTTTTGTCCCATTAAAGTAATCATTTTTGTAAAATTAGAGTTGTTTTCAACAATCCGTGAAAATAAATCCTGCTCTGTAACAGACATATCATTTTCCACCAATTGTAATGTCAGAAGTTCAATTTCATTCAAAGAAGGCAAATGTTTTGCCATTTCACATAATTCTGACAAACTGCAGGTATCAAGTGGTAAAGCAATGGACTCATTACACTTGTCCCGTTTTTCAGAAAGTGGATGAAGAAAGCCACTTTTTAAACCTTCTTGGATTATCTGTGAAGATCCATCCAAAATCAGTCCCCTGATCTGTAAGAGAATTTTTAAGTACATTAAAAGGTCACTGACACTAAAACAATTTTCTAAATAATGAAATTCCTACTATGCTTTGAATATGTAAACTTTTATGGATTAAAGTCAACGTTCCTAATGCTTTCAAGAAAATAATTTTATACTACAATGAAAAGATAAAAATATGTCAGTATACGTTTGAACTGCAGTTTCCTAATTGGGGAATGATACAAACCTCATAAATTCACTGAAAGTTAAATAACAAAACGGTATATATCAGAAAATATATCTTTAAAAGAAGTTATAAAATCAATTTGATATATTTTTAGAAGAAAGTGTAATCTCTAATCTATAAAGAGAATTAAGTTTCATCACAAGATTTAATCTTAAATTTCTAGTGACTTAATTTTAAAATAAACCTACCTTTGATTTTACAAAATATAGCTTGAATCGTTAAAAAAAAATAATAAAATGAACATATAAACAAAGTTTTGCAATAGAGCAACTACACTAATCATAAAAAATAAAAGCCGCCCTGGCTAGTTTTGCTCAGCAGTTAGAGCATCGGCCCCGCGGACCAGAGAGTCTCAGGTTCGGTTCCCGCTTAAGGGCATGTACCTCAGTTGCAGTTTGTCCCCAGCTCCAGTTGGGGTCATGTGGGTGGCGACCAGTCAATGTGTCTCTCTCATGTCAATGTTTCTTTCTCTCTCTTCCCCCCTCTCCCTCCTGCTCTATCTGAAGATAAATGCAAAAATGTCTTCGGGTGAAAATAAAAAAATAAAAGCCAAGCTCTGCATCTGGACAAGATAGAGTACATTTCAAATTCTAAAAATGTTGTTCTTGTTAATCTTCACCCAGGGATATTTTTTCCATTGATATTTAGAGGAAGTAGAAGGGAAGAAAAGAGGGGAGGGAGAGGGAGAGGAAGAAGGAGAGAGGGCGAGAGATACATCGATGTGAGAGAGACACACATCTGTTGGTTGCCTCCTGCAAGGACCCTGACAGGGATCAAACCTGCTACCAGGTAACATAACCTTGACCGGGAATCAAACCCTAGATCATTTGGTACACAGGCTGACACTCTAACCATAGAGAACAATGGCCAGGGCTAAAAATTATTTTTTTAAAAAGGCCTTCAGATGATGAATGGATGCCAAGAAGTACAGACCAGTGGTTTCTAAGAAAGTTTCCAGGCAGCAGCATGGGGAAGGATGCCCATTCAGAGTCCAACAGTCTCTCTGGGTTGAAGAGATAGAGCTAGGAGTATGAAAGGGCCAAGCGGGTAGAGTATGCCCAGTAGGATACCGCAGAGGAGAGAGCTGCATACAGAGAGAGGTCTTGGAAGCTGCAAAGGGTCAAGTCTCCAGTTCAGTACTGAGTAGCACATACATGTGATGAAACTACCCAATGTCAAGGAAAGAACTAGAAATGATCAAAGGTAACAATCCTCAGAGTTCATACAGGGATGAGAAGAAACAGTGCTCCCATTAGCCAAAATAAAAAATCTCATAATTCACAAATATTGCCTCAGTAATGGTAAAAAAAAAAAACCTACTAAAGTGTGCTCTGGTACTAACTAAGAAAGCTTAAAGAAAGTCTCAAGAGGATCAACCAGTTTCAAAGTAACTTTGTCCAAGAATAAAGCTCAAGAATATTTATAGGAATATGAAAATATCAGTACCTAACATGCTAAAATTGAAATGTCTTACAAAAAAAAAAACCCTACCAGAAACATAAAGAAGCAGGAAAATACAATATATTATAAGAGGAAAAAATCACTACTCAATGGAAACACACAGGAATGACACAGATGATACAATTATAGGAAAAGTTGGGTAGGTTTATTTGCAGCCCATTTAAAAAAGTTTAGAGCCCTGGCCGGTTTGGCTCAGAGGTTAGAGCATCAGTCTGTGGACTGGAGAGTCCCAGGTTGGGTTCCCGCTAAGGGCACATACCTCGGTTGCAGTTTGTCCCTGGCCCGGTTGGGGTCGTGTGGATGTCAGCCAGTCAATGTGTCTCTCTCACATCAATGTTTCTCTCTCTCTTTTCCTTCCTCTCTCCCTCTCACTCTATCTGAAGATGAATGCAAAAATGTCCTCAGGTGAGGATTATAAATAAATAAACAAATAAATAAAAAGGAAAAAGGAGAAAAGAATATCAAGGCACTTATAACCATATTCATATGTCCAAAATGTAAAGAAAAAAATGAGCATGTTAAGGAACATGAAATCTATTTTAAAAAGATCAAATTGAATGTCTAGAGGAAAAAACTATAACGCAGAAATGAAAAATATACTAGATTAATAGCAGATGAGACACTGAAGCAGAAATTGATGTACTTAGAAACAACACAATAAACTGTCCAAAATAAGGGGAGAGAAAAGGTATTTGAGGAAGTAATAGCCACGAATTTCTGAATTTGCTGAAGACTTGAATTCACAGATCCAGAAGCTCAACAAAGGAAGAAGGAGCACAAAGAGGAGGCAAAGGAGGAGGAGAAAAAGGAGGAGGAAGAGGAAGAGGAAGAAGCGGAGGAGGAGAAGGAGACTACACAAAGGAATATTATAATCAAACTGCTGAAAATCAATGATAAAGAGAAAATGTTTAAATCAGCCATCCACACAGAGATGTCCACCTCCAGCCAAGAATAACAGTGACAGCAGTTTTCAAGACACTAAGGCAACAAAGGTCAGTGAAAAGAAACCATAGGTAAACCCTATGACTGCCCCCACCAAATGCCTGGAGAGTTTCCAGGCCACAGGAAGGAGGAATCTGGGCAGAGCCTAGAAGAAATCCAGAGGAGAGGAGGCAGAGCTGAGAATCTGGAGCAGCCAAGACCAATAAAATTCACAGGACAGTATATAGATGAAAGAACTTCACAGAGAGAAAACTCCATAGAACTGCAGGTAGTCTAACTAGAGAAATTCCTCTAAGTACTGATCAGTGAAAATGTGCAAGGGAACTATCTGAGACTAGGAAAAAGACCACCCAAAAAGACAGAGAAGAAACAGTGCCTGGAGCTCCCACAGGGCCAAGAATTGTGCCTGATTCCACCACTCAGACTGGAAAACCTCATGATTCACTGGGCATTTGGGAGACAATTCACCATAAGTCTCCCCAAGTGAGCAGAGGCAATGACATCTTTTGTTCCAGAATAAATTTTCAAGGATATTTGTATACCATGGAAGATGGAGATTATGTCTCCTTCCAAAGCAGAGGGCAGATCTACTTGCTGTCCAGGTTAATAAAGCCTCCCTCTGAGGCAAAGGGTTGAACAAATCTGCTTACAACCCATTTAAAAGATTGAGCTTCCCTAAGCTTGGATTCCTTAGCTAAGAATCAAGTCTACTGTACACACAGCATCCACCAAGGCTACTCAGCACTGCCGCAATGGGACTTGGAGTACAAAGAAAATCTGTGAACATAAAGCAAATGGTTTCTGCTATGCATGGAACAATAAAATCCTCATTTTAATTAAATCTTAGGTCTAAACTGCTATCTTGTTAGCTTCCAAATAGGGTAAAAGCTCAGACCTGTGAGTAGTTCTTGACAGGATATTGGGTAGATCCCAGATCATGCATCAGTGAAAGAGTACATTAGCCTTAGGCTAAATACAATTCTAAACTTACCTTTTTTAAAAAAACTGCCACCAATTGATAAACCGATTAAACTAAATATCTCTAAAGACACACTATCAACCAACTTGACCTGACAGTCACAGAACACTGCATCCAATAACTATAGGTTACATATTCAAAAGGAGTATACAAGGCAATGAACCTGAACAGACACTTCTCCAAAGAGGACCTACAGATGGCCAATAGACATATGAAAAGATGCTCAACATCATTAAGCATCAGAGAAATGCAAAGTAAAACCACAATATCACTTCACACCTATCAGAATGGCCACCATCAATAAATCAACAAACAAGTATTGACAAAGATGTAAAGAAAAGGGAACCCTTGTGCACTGTTGGTGGGAATGCAGATTGGTGCAGACACTGTGGAAAGCAGTATAGAGCTACCTCAAAAAATTAAAAATGGAACAGCTTTATAAACTAGCAATTCTACTTCTGAGAATATATCCAAAGACCCAAAACATTAACTGAAAAATATATGCATCCCTATGTTCACTGCAGAGTTATTTACAATAGCCAAGATTTGGAAGAAGCCTAAGTGCCTATCAGTAGATGAATGAATTAAAAAACCATGGTACATTACACAACGGAATACTACTCAGCCGTAAAAAAGAAAAGTTTACCCTTGTGACAGCATGGATGGACCTGGAGAGTATTATGCTAAGTGAAATAAGCCAGTCAGAGAAAGACAAGTACCATATGATTTCAATTACATGTGGACTCTAATGAACAAAATTAACAAATAAAATAGGAACAGAAACAGACTCACAGATACAAAGAACACAATGACAGCTGTCAGAGAGGAAGGGAGTTGGGGACTGGTGAAAAAGGTGAAGCAAAGAAATAAAAAGCTCATAGTGCTGGCCAGTGTGGCTCACTCGGTTGGACATTGTTCCATGCACCAAGAGGTCACCAGCAATTCAATTCTTCCCCAGGTATGAGCAGGATCCCCAGTGGGGGGAAAGCAGAAGGCAATCAAACAATGTTTCTCTCTCACAATGATGCTTCTCTCTCTCTCACTCTCTCTAAAATCACTAAAAACATTTAAAAAAACTCACAGACACAGACAACAGTATGGTAATTACAAGAGGAAACGAGGGTAGGGGAGGTAAAATAAGGTAAAGGGGGGGATAAATGGTGATGAAAGGAGACTTGACTTGGGGTGGTGAACACACAATACAATATACAGAAGATGTATTATAGAATTGTATACCAAAAACCTATATAATTTTATTAACGAGTATCACCCCCAATAAATTTCATAAATAAATAAATAAAGGAGAGCACCTAGTGGGTACCAGAGCCTTGCTGAAGTAAGTCTTGCTCTGTGTGGGGGGCCTGGCACAGCTAATCCTCCAAGGTAATCAGAAGTCAGGGG